CACTGTTATGACGTCACGTTTACTGCACTGCCAGTAAAAACGGAACACACCCAGGGTATAAGTTCGATATTATATTTCAGAGCTCTGATTGGACGGCTCGTTATTCCTTGTTGCCTGTGCCTATTGTTTGTGTCTATTGTGTTTCCAGCCTTACGAATGATATATTGCGTATATGACAGTACTTACGAGTATCGGGAATATTGCTCTAGAGATTTTCTGTTACGATTACTCGCAACTTGTTATTTGCGTATACGCAATTATTTCGAGAATAGAAACCTAGGGATTTTTCGTTGAGAGCATTCGCAACTTGTTAGTTGCGTATACGCAACTGGTTCAAGAATAGGGCCCCAGACACAAGCTTTTGCATAACGCATAACGCATAGTGCATAAGCGAATCAACTAATCAGAAGCTTTCCTTTCCTCTCATTCCATGGAAAAGAAGAATTTCGATTGGTTGATTCCATTATGCACTATATATTATGCGTTATGCAAGAGTGTGTGCTGCGGTCATAAGCCCGGATCCTCATACGGGAAATAGCGCTTTGACACAGAGCGCTAATTGGTGAAAAGCCGGTTCTGGGAGTACAATTTACCCTCATCACCCATTTTTCACCAATCAGCGTTCGGTGTCAAAGCGCTGTTGCCCGTATGAGGATCTGGGCTAAGGGCTGCCGCACAGTAACCATAAGACGTATGACCTTCCGTCACAGTAACCATAAGACGTACCATAAGAATTAGCCAATCACAGTCGAGAATATTTTTAAACTCTTAATTCTGATTGGCTGATTCTTACGATACGTCTTATGATTATTGTTACGGAAGGTGTGTGCGGCAGCCCTAAGCCCGGTTCTTCATACGGGCAACAGCGCTCCGAGACCGTACGCTAATTGGTGAAAAACGGGCGATGGGGGTAAATTTTACCCCACAACCGGCTTTTCACTAATCAGAGCTCTGTGCCGAAGCACTGTTGCCCGTATAAGGATCTGGGCTTAAGCAGTAACGAAATCAACATGTTTGATTCGCTATTGCTTACGTATAGTCTTACGGTCTCTATTGTGATTGGTCGATTCGCTTACTGCTTAGGTTTTACGTCTTAAGTTTTTTTATGTGCCATAGCCTTTAGGCCGGTTATGGCTTTCAGTTGGACACGGCTCAATTGGACACGAGCCACTCACAGCGCTTGAGACTACAAAGCTCCTAAGCACCGGTCGCTGTGACTGGTGGTGTCCAATCGAGCCGTCAATCAGGATCACTCCAGATAACTCTAGGGTGCATTTTTGCTATAACATACGTAACGTAACCTATAGCTTAGAATTATTTGGTCGTAAATCCTGAACGCAGCCCTATTGTAGATCCGGAGTAAAAGGAACAGAGAACAGAGAATAAGAATTTCAACCTATAAAAAATCATGTATTGTGGAATATACAGTTTCTGATAGGTTGAAACTCTAAGGGCCGCAGCACACACTTTTGCATAACGCATAGTTCATAAACGAATCAACTAATCAGAATCTTTCCTTTCCTCTTGTTCCATGAAAAAGAAGAATTTTGATTGGTTGATTCCTTTAAGGCCCGTCTACAATACACGGAGTAAGAAGTAAGAGTAAGAAATTGACCAATCACAGTCGATTATTCTTCTCACATTCCACTGTGATTGGTCAATTTCTTACTCTTACTTCTTACTCCGTGTATTGTAGACGACGCCTTATGCACTATGCATTATGCGTTATGCAAGAGTGTGTGCTGCGGCCTTTATTCTCTGTTCTTATTCTCTATTCCCTGGGTTGCGCTCATAAAGTTTACTCTTTAAGGCGTCGTCTACAATACACGGAGTAAGAAGTAAGAGTAAGAAATTGACCAATCACATTCGATTATTCTTCTCACATTCGACTGTGATTGGTCAATTTCTTAGGCTGATGTCCCATGCAGCGTATCGTGCGTAAGGGTGATGTCCCATGCAGCGGATCGTGCGTAAGCGGATTCGCGTATCGCCAATCACAGAATCATTCTCTTAGATCTGTTTGCAAATTTCGCAAGC